CTAATATCATATAAAGAGTACGGCATTGGCAACAGGATGTAGATATGATTTTTGTAAATTTTGAAATCTTTACCACTCATTTCGAAAATAAACTAATTATTTAATTAAAAAAAAAGTCTTGTGTATTTGTGTTACGTTTACGTTAATTCCAACTTAGCCTGCTTCGTAATTTGTGGTAAAAGAAATAAAATTCTCTATTTCCACCGTCTCCACATGCTGGAACTATGGAGCGCCAATCAATTTCATTCAATATGAAAAACAAAACAACTAGGCGATGCAGAGGCGTTATCCCACAATTTCGCGCCAGTCTGCAAAAGTTAATAGTGACAGTGTTGCCACGTAACAAAGGCGCAAAGGACGCCTGGAAATCGACGAGCTGAAAGTAGAATATATCTTGTAAAATATACAGAGACTGGGTCTCGCGCCTCTACCGAGTATACAGTTGAACTAACAATATACAAGAAAATTCAGTTTACTATGATCGTAGCGTCCTTCTGAAAATTTTAATTGAGACTACTTAGATCCTGTATATACCGTTTCTATAGCGTTGCATCCGGGCGTCCATATATGGACGCCCGGTTGTTGACGGACGCTCGGAAGATAGCAAATGTTCGAGTTTAAAAAAAAAATGACTTTTTCTGCCACAGGTTCATCATCCGATAGTGCATATACTCCAAGTACGGTGATTCTTCTCCCGCCGATGTCAAGGTTTATTTGCATTATGTTCTCGGTGATGGGCTCCCACTCAGTAATACTAAACTTTAACTTAAACTAAAGTGGATTTTATAAGGAAATCACGTCGAAATATTTTTTGTACCCCGGTATATAGCATGCTGGCATTTGGCATGCACATATACAATTAAAATGCCTAATTTTTGATATAAACATAATATCTCCAACAATTCATTCGTCATTTTTTGCAAATAAAATAAATGCATTTTTGATTATAATTTAATTTAATACAAATAATGATAATAATTATAGTACGGTTCAGTATGAATACAGTATTACAGAGTGCCAGGTCATGTAAGATTACTTTGACAGACTTTTTTATTGTCAAAATCCACAAAGTGCTAATTTCGTACATAAACTGGTTGATAAAATGATGAAATTATTTGTTTTTTTAATTGAGCAACGGTTAAATAATGGAAATGTAAAACATTTGCAGGCATTCATTTGCAAAAACTGACGAATCGAATGTTTTTAAAATTGGTGTACGAATAAAATTTGAAAAGTCCATTAAAAAGATGCATGATCATCACATGACCCCTCATAGCATTAAAAAATTTCTTGTTCTTCTTCTTCTACTTCTTCTTTTTCTATATTAGGCACTTCGGCCTGTTTTACTTCAATGTAATATCACAAGTTGTAGCTCCATCTTTTTCGTGAAAGTCCTATACTCCTCCGAACAGAAGGCGATTTATCTGTTGCTATCCTCATTATACCTTGTTCAGATATTCTATATATATGTTGATTCCATTCTTGCTTTCTATTTCTATTCCAGGTGTTAGTGTTTTCAATTCCACATATGTGTCTTCTGTTTTCATTTGTTTCTCTATCCCAGAGTGTTTTTCCTGCTATTTTCCTTAATGTTTTCATTTCATTCGTTTGTAGGCCTTTTTGAGTGCGGAATTTTGTTTCGTTCTTAAGTATTTATTCTTCCATATCGTGTCGTTTAGGCATCCTACTATTCTATTGGCTTTTGCAGTTTGTTTTCTTATTTCATCCTTTTTGTTATTATCATATGGTAATATAATTCCTAAATATTTGTTTATTACCTGCTCTATAATTTTGTTATCAAGTTTCAGCTTACATCTAATTGGTTCTTTAGAGATTACTAGTGATTTAGTTTTTTTGTCCGATATTTTCATGTTAAATTTCTATGCATTTATATTAAACTGATGTAGCAATCTCTGCAAATCAACTTCATTCTCAGCTACCAATACATTATCGTCGGCATAATACAACACTTCTATTTCTTTATTAGCTATCTTATAGCGTTTTTTTATTTTTACTTCTCTAATTATTTCGTCTTATATAATGTTAAATAATAAGGGGCTTAGTGAGTCTCCTTGCCTAATACCTGTAATTACATTTATGACCTCAGTTAGCTCTGAATTTACTCTAGCTTCTATTTTATTTCTTTTGTATATATTGTCGATTAGTTTTATTATATCAAAGGTGATATTTCTGTTATAAGGTATTTGTATCATGTCCTGTAGCTGCACTGGATCAAATGCTTTTTCTAAGTCTATGAAGCATAAGAACACACAATTGATTTTTCTATAATTTGTCTAATTACAAATACTGCGTCATTGCAATATCTTCCACTTCTGAAACCTTGTTGTTCTTCAGAGAGTGGAGTTTTAAAGTCATGCATAGGAGGTTAATTCCTCGATAGTTATTTAGATCAGTTTTCTCCCCCTTTTTAATAAGTGGTATCATTATGCTTATCCTTCAGTCTTCCGGTATTTGTGATCCTCATATTAACTCGTTTGTAAACGCTGTTAGTTCTCTAATTAGCTTGGGACCTTCGCACTTTAATTAATTAATTAAGTAATTCATTCTGTATTCCATCTTTGCCAGCCCATTTTCGGTTTTTTAATTTCTTCTTCACTTTCTTCTTGCTTCTTCCACTTCTTCTATTCTATTTCTTTCTAGTATTTCATCTGTTACTATATCCGGGGTTTCTCGTGTTAAATTCAGCGTCGTATTGTAGAATCCTTTTAAGTGATTTGTCCATTTCTCTTTTTCGACATACTTTACCCCTATCAATTATTTCATTTCTTGTCGCTATCCACGTATTCTCCAGATCTCCTTTTGCAAACAATAAAAGTCGTATTCCATATCTTTTGAGAATTTTTTCCAATGTTCTGTTTTCTTTTTTTCCTTACCAGTGTGTTTGTTTCGTTGAGATTTTTTTTATATTCTTCCCGGTCTTCTCCTGTTTTTGTAGACTTTTATTTGAGATAGGCTCTTGTTTTCTGTTGACATTTTAGTTTTACTTCGTCACAAAACCAAGATGCACTTTTGATTTTTTTATGTTCTCTCGGTTTTACGTTCCCTAAGCGCTTCTATTTCTGCGTTTTTCTTCTTTATAGTTTCTCAAATCTTTCTTCAGTTTTTTTGTGTATCTTCTTCTTCTATTACTGAGATTTCGTATATTTTGTTTTCCAATCTTGTTTGTTAGATATTTTTTATTGATTCATCCTTTTTTTTCCTACCTCAATCTTTGTTCCCCAAACCTTTTATGTTAATTTTTTTATGTTTGTTTATTTTCATATTTATTTTTATTAAAACATGATTGTGGTCACTTCCTACGTAAGCAGAAGATATTATCTAGAATTTGTGTGCAATGTATTTCCCTATTTGAAAGATATAGTCTATCATTGATCTAGCTTCTCGTGTATTTTCGAATGCATATTTATGTTGTTATTTGTCTGAAAAGGGTGTTATTTATTCGTATTTCGTTTTGTGAACAGAACTTTACTAAAGAATCGCCGTTCTCGTTAGTCACACTTTCATTAAATTTTTGTTTCACCCCTGGTATTATTGCGTTCCATAGTAGTGCAATAAGGTCACATAATATGATAATTAGCTCCCTTTTTGGTATTGTATCAATTGCCTTGTAATTTCTCATAAAATTTTAGTCTGTCTTCTTCTGGTTTGCAGCTTTCTGGGCTGGAAATTGCAACTATGTCAGTTTTTTGATTTTATAATTTAAGTTTAACTTGTATAATTCTTTCCGATACATATTTGCATTCCTGGATATTTTGAGACAGTTTTCTATGGATCATAGTGCTACCCCCTCTTTCGCTCTGACGTGTCTTTCCAATTCTTTTTTGTTTCTTGTAGTGCACATATTTCTATATTTCTATCACTTAATTCTTTTTCAACTTCCTGATCTTTATTATTCCGTGTTTTTATATTCCATCTTGCTATCCGCATTTTATTTTTTTTTATAGCTACTCGTTGTCCTTTTTCTTGCTGATTTCGTCATCACGTTATCAATCCTGTTCTGAGGCATTATATTGTGTATGGTGTTAACAGTAGGTTGGGTAGGTTGCTAACCTTGCTCATAAACCCTCCTTCTTTACCCGGACTTTGGACTGGCACTCACACTAGAGCTACTCAATCTACCCCACCAATGCTCCAGGCGGAGTAAAACAAAAAATTAACATGACATTTTCCCATATTGTTTTCATGTCAAAAATTATACATTTTGTATACATAGTGGTATGAAAAATAATAGGCGGGTCCTATGATTTAAGCAGGCACAGTATAATAAAAGCTTTTTTCTATTCCCGTCTGTAAAATACCTAATTAGCCACCGATCTAGCGTGCGGGACGCGTCACTTTACAACGTCAGTTCTGTTTCCCACGAATCCGAGCCACTTCGGACATTTCCGGGATTTTACCGCACGGGTTTGGCAGCAATCGAATATTTTCGGAGACATTTCCCACCCTTTGAATTTTGACGTTTGTCAATTCTGACAGTCATGTATTCGTGTTTTGCGAAAATATACCCAAAATCTAACTGTCGTAGAAGAAATATAGTATGCAACACGTTCGGTAAACTTTTTAACTCACTCGTTTATTAAACAATGCCGTTTACCGCACTTGTTGCATAATATACTATTAGTCGCAGAAATCGATGGCCATATTAAGATCTGCAAACATAATTTTTGATATCAAACTAAATTTTTCGAATATTGCTGATTCCCAAACAAGAGACCGTCGGTCCAGCTTCTAATTTTGCTGGTGACAATGAATGGAAAATTTCTTTACCTTGTACTCCGACAACTTTGAAAGAGAATAGATAACAATGAATAGTACTTAAATTATTTGCTATCTTGTCGTAAAAATGGGATACAATTCGTAATTTACATTAAAATGACCAACAGCTAATATTATCCGCACCACTACTGCTTAGCTAACATCAAATTCACCATTTCTTATTTTACTGGCCACTATTTACTTGTTATTCTTATTCGTTTCAGAGTGCCGCCGATCTTTTGATCGATCTTCCGGATGGCACGATTCGTGGATCTGAGACCATTACCGAAAATTATACCTACAATGCTTACCGGGGCATTCCATATGCAAAGCCTCCAGTAGGTACTCTGAGGTTTCAGGTAAATATCATGAGATAATTGCAATAATTTTTAAATATTATTTTTCGCCATTTTTGCAGGCTCCAGTGCCAAACGACCCATGGGACGGAGTTTTAGATGCTAGTGCATTGAAGGACTGTTGCATACCTTTGGGCATTGCTCTAGAACCACAAAGTGAGGATTGTCTGTATATCAATGTTTTCACACCTTCGCAAACTGTAAGTTGTTGTGCGTTAGTTTTACGCATTCTCTAATTAAATCAAATTTATAAATACATAAAATTGCAAAATAAATTGCAGTACAATAAAGATAATTGGTCGATATCATTCGTGATATTGGTAAAAATTTTTAAGTGTGACAAATACGTCTTTTTTGAATGCGCGAAGTATTTCGTACCGTGTGGAATTGTTTATATTAGGTCAGGCTCTTTCGTAAGGGAATTTTGATTTTTCTGGTATAAAGTAACGCGCAGAGGGTTAGCGATTTTTGCAATTTTAAGGGGTGTGAAATAAAATGCTGCTTCACTATTGTCTCCATTTTAATTATTTTTCAAATAACGAATGATTCGATAAGTTGACAGAAAACTATAACTAAATGGTATTTCCATAGAAACGGAAATATACATATCAATATTTAGCAACATGTCGTTTAACAAACCGAAACACATACTAAAAAGATGTTTCAATACAGCTGTAGAGAAAATATTCGATACAACGTGAGCGTGAAGAAATTTAGCCCATTCGACTGATATTTTGGCATTCTCCAACTTAATTATTTATTTTGACAACGGACGGTTAACGGGGACCTCTAAAACTCTAATTTAATAAAATTGTTCTAAAGATATATAGAGCTTTCCTTTTAAAAGACCTCAAATTTCTTAAAAGAAAATTGCTTCGCAAACCTTCACAATAAAAGTGAGAAATACGCGTTTATAAGTTCAGTTAATTATAAGAACATATTTTTTACTAAGGATATTTCTTAAGCCAACTACGAAAGCTATCTGCAGAAATTCGGCTATTAAGGGTTGCCGCATACAAACGATTGGCAGCCATTGTCGCTTCTTTTTCTTCTGGTCTTTTGGAAAGTACACACTGGTCTTACTTGTCCTTTGGGCTCCATATATTCGATTTTTCACCAATCAAAGTCAGTCTAAATCAAGAAGTCAATAAAGCATAAGCCTATTTTCTAAAGCATTATTTATTTGAAAGGTCACTTCTCAGTGCCAAAATGGACAAATATCTATGTGTAACTTTTTAATATCAACAAATAGCAGTTTTTGATTTGATTTTGCAATTGTGCAGATGATGTAGTAAATGAAATGTCCGAATAATTTTGCTATTCCAATAAAATACCTTTTTTTAAGACAACAGAGAAACTGCCAGTAATGCTCTGGATATATGGAGGCGGATTTACTACTGGATGTGCTCAAGAGGACGTCTTCGGACCACAGTCTCTTACAAACGAAGGAGTTATAGTGGTTACATTCAATTACCGTATGGGTTTATTTGGTTTTCTAAGTACGAATGACAGCGTGATATTAGGTAACGCCGGACTCAAGGACCAACTATTAGCGATGCAATGGACACAGAAAAACATCGAATATTTCGGTGGCGATCCGGAAAAAGTGACCATATTTGGTGAAAGCGCAGGTGGTGTGTCGGTTGGAGCGCATGTAGCGAACAAAAAATCTGCTGGCTTGTACAGAGCCGCTATTTGTCAAAGCGGTTGTTCTTTGACGATCTTGCCTTCAGCAATTCAATCTGATCCCAGGAAAAACGCTTTAGATATTGCGAAATCGTTAAATCCTTTCCTTTCGGATTCAAGTACATCGGAGGAAATCAGGGATTTCCTTCAAGGTGTGCCAACCATTCTTTTGACTGTTGCTTTAAATCTAAATCCGCAAGTAAGTCTTTTGTAAAAATAGGCAATAATTGTGAGCTTTAACATTTTGGTTACGATTTTAAGATTTCAAAAATTATTATTGCTTTGACAAAGAAGAGTTATTTATGTTAATTTGAATGTATTTTTCCATTCAATATCGCAACAATTTCTTTATAAAATGTCTATTTTCTATATGCATGTCTACAGTTAAAAGTAAGAAATGCATTTTTTTAAAGGTCCCTTAATATGCTCCATATTAACAAATCACAGATTGCTTTGACGGACACAATTTATTTTTGGGAACATGATTAATTAATTAATCTGTTTTACGGCATATGTGATGAGATAGAATTGTTCAAACAATACTCGAAAAATCTAATTCAACTAAACCCAAAAAAATAGATTATGTTACTGAAATGTAGGTCGCATAGAGATAAGGAAATTACAGTTCTGGAATGCAGTAAATACACGCCTAAAAGTAATAAGCATGAACATAAACGGACTCTCAATTTACGAAAAAAATACGTTATGTTCCTCTAATTCGCTAAAAAACAAATAAATTGTAATATTTTTATATTTTTTTAGACGGGGATCGTAATAGAAGTAGAGAACGAAAACGCGTATGTAACAGATCACAGTTTCACACTGCTTGAATCAGGAAACTTTAACCAAGTGCCCTTAATAATTGGAACAAATTCCGCAGAATCGTTGTCAATTTTGGGAAGTAAGTACTGAACAATTTATAAGTCCACGGAACAAAAACAAAATAATGTTATCTTTCAGTTTTGCTGCCTGAATTAATGGGCGCTGCACTCGGTTATGATGTAAACTCGACTTTGTTAATACCCGTGAATCTGAACCCTGTGCCGGTTTCCAATTTAAACGACGTTGCTACTCAGATTAAACAGGCATACAGCGGTTTCTTACCATTTGCATTAAATTTGGCAGCGTTTGTTGAGGTAACTGATATTTTGGTTTTCGAATATGTTTTTGCCCTATCGTGTGATAATAGTATATTATGCAACAAACGGCATTTGACTCACAAGTTTATTTGACACGGGCGGAGCTACTGTTTAATTAACGAGTCACTTAAAAGGTTTCCGAACGAGTTGCATAGTATACTTTTTCTACGACCGTTAGTTTTTGGGTACATTTTCGTAAAACAACACGAATACCATTCACTGACATGATCGTCAGAATTGACAAACGTTCAAATTCAAGGCGTGGGAAATATCTACGAAAACATCCGATTGCTGAAAAACCCGTGCGGTAATATCCCGAAAAATCGGGAGTAAAAAAAATTGTATACCACTTGACGCCAATACTTTTTAAGTGTGACATTTTGCAATTTAACACGCGTAACCGATATTGCTTTATTTTTGAATCATATTCTTTCGCATTCGTGTCGAATCGGATTAAAATTGATTTGAAAGCTGATAATAATAATAATTTTTCTAAACGCTTGTGGTTGAACTTTGAGTTCCAGTAGAAAGAGGTTCTCCTTGTTATGTTAGATTTGTCACCGATAACGATTGTTTCATGACCTGAGAGTATTATATAAATTGTATGTGAATATTTCCTAAATTGCAGTTTACCAGTGACCAGTTATTTGTAAGATCGTCGCTCAAGCAAGCCGAATTTCAGTCCAAATATTCTCCCGTCTACTTTTATCAATTTTCTTATTCCGGAACTGTGGGTAGCCTACATATCATGGTTGATGGTATGTAATACAGATCACCAGAGCACACCTCAGAAATAAAAAAATCGTTCCTCTTTCAAGGCGCGGGAAAAGTTGGACACGGTGAAGATGTACGTTATCTGTTTGACCGGACAGATTTTCCTCTATCCACAGAAGGGGAGCTTCTAACGAAAAGCAGGATGACTAGACTTTGGGCCAATTTCGCTAAGACATTGTGGGTTGCATTCTTGGGAAGAAACTTTAGTAATTTCATAGATTTTAATTTTTTTAGGAATCCCACCCCGGAAGCATCCGACCCGCTGCTCAATGTAACGTGGCCTAAAGCTTCGGGTTCGGACATCCCTTATCTGGATATAGACGAGACCCTTGAAGTTAAGCCCGCTAAAAAGGTGAAAGAAATGGAAATGTGGAACAACGTTTTTAACACGTACGGCCAACAACCTTTCGTTGGATTTTGATTCTTCAATACACGTACATGTGGATTAATGTTGTACGCCGATTATTTTATATAAATAGTGTGTAGAAATAAAATTAATAAAACGGAAATAATAACTGTGATTTCATTTATTGTTGGTTTGCTGGATTAATTTGTTGTAGTGTCGAATATGCTAAAGTAAAAAAAAAATAAATGCACGTAACCTAATATACAATAATCTAGGCTATCATTGTAGGTCTCAAATTTCCTCTGGTTCTGGTTTGCAATATGTTGCCCTGGTCCGTAGTATTGGTATTGGTATTGGTATTAAAGGGGGGCGCCCTCGCGGGCGTCCAAGCACTTAAGCCACCAGATGGGCCCGTTGTGCCCCCAGGCCGCTCTAGAGGGCGTCGAGAATGCCGCCCCTCCTGTAGAAGGTCAGCAACTCTTTTAGCCCAATACCGTGCACTGAGTCCGGATCGATCAGGGCCGTTCCGAAGAACGGCCCTGCTCACCGAGTGCCCATGTCAAGGCAGGGCACTCGGTGAGCAGATGATACGGGGTCTCCTCCCCTTCCATGCACCACTTACACTCCGGGTCGTCTCCAATGCCTAGCAAGCAGAGATGCCTCCTAAGCCTGCAATGTCCTGTGTAGGCCCCTGTTAGTGCTCTACACTCCCTTCTGGTCAGTCTAAGCAGCTCTCTGGTCCGAGGAAGGGCGGGCCCATCCATCATAAGCCTCGCCTGCCTCATTCCCGGAGCAACTCTCCAGCCCCCCGCGGCCCGGTCTCTCGCCCAGGCTTCGAGAGTTCCCCGCCTCACACACGGGGCGATCCCCAAGCGGGGCTCTGGCCCAATATGCCTATGCGAGGAGCCCTCCCTGGCTAAGGCGTCCGCTGCCTCATTGCCCCGGACACCGGTGTGACCCGGGACCCAGATTGGTCCGTAGTATACCTAGCTGTAAAATTTCCATTTTTTAATATAAGGCTTGCTTCCAAAAAAGAAACAAAAGAGTGGGGGTGATAAGGAAAAGGGCACATATACCATATACATTATGTGTGCCTGACTTCAGGTATTAAAGATATCTAGTGTTATCCACTGCACTAAACCAAATGCAAGCAAACTCGGACAAGAGCCATTAGCCAGTAAAGTAACCATGCAACGCCCACTTATTGGTTTTCTACGTATTTCGTTGGAGTCATTTTTCTTTAGTGATACTGATATATTTTAAAAGTACTGCTGAACATCAAATAACAAAAGCCGATTCCGGGAATAACATTTGCCGTATCACATTTATGCATTGAGAATTAAAATCGTAGGACATTTAAAGCAGAATCATATTAATAAAAAATTACGAAATTACATCCCCTGCTGAATAGTAATCCTTCGTCCTATAATGGTTGGTTCTAATACTGCTACTAAAGGTTTACTAATGAATAATTGGGTTTCAGTGACGCCCCTGGCTTAGGCAGTGGTGCCTTTTTCCGACTTGGTCATATTGCTTCAGTTCCTTGAGATCTTGAACCTGAAGCTGGAATAAAATCAAATGGCGGCTCGTTCCTCTTCAATCTGGCAACGACAGTGGAGGTAAATATAATTCGGCAGTACATTTCCACCAATTTAATTAAAAAGAAAGTTACTATTATTTATAATTCAAGAAAGCAGGATTTAATTTCGCCGTGAACTAAATAGGGTATTTTATTCATTAGAGTTTTCTATTAATTTGTTCTTTTTGTAATTGGGTACGGAGAATGAATAATTTAGGCAGCAATAAATAAAAACATAGATATTCTAGGATTTAACAGAACTTAAGTTGTGGAAATAGGTTTAGATAGGTTAATTGAGTTGTATTTCAAGTCACTACTATTTAAATAAAAAATAAAATAGAATATCTCTAATGTACGTATCTACAAAAGAGTTATCCTGGAGAAATATTTATCACTTGACGTTATGTATAAATGAATGAAGTCGGATACAATATTCTCAAATTCCGAAATTCATGATGCTCCGTCAACTAGTATGTTTATTCTCGTGTCATTTGCGGTAAGTCTATTATAAACATTTGTAATCCATTTTTGTATAATCTGCGAGAGAGAACCAACCATTGCTTAAAATATTTTCAAATTGAAATGAATGTATCTTCAACGGACTAGTATGATTGTTAAATACAATGAGAAAGTTGTATTCATCTGTGTAAAAAAGGAGATTTAGAGAAACAATCTCAGTACGCCACTGCATTTGACTCAAAAAGTTCCGCATTCCATTGAGAAATTTTCATTCATAATACAGTTACGGTTGGGTCGGACCCCGGAAGTAGATTCTAAGGGGTGTTTTTTTTCGATGTATAGAACTTTAAGTTGCAATAAAACAACGATGGATTATTCGATTGACATGAATTTTATTTATCCGAAAGATAATCTTGTGGCTTTACATTTTAAATATGATTTCTGGCATATGACCGCCACGGCCGGCGCGGACGTAGTCCAATCTGTACGTCCAATTGTCGATAACTTTTTCCAACATTTGTGGCCGTATATCGGCAATAACACGGCGAATGTTGTCTTCCAAATGGTCAAGTCAAGCCCCACAGAAAGTAGTCTAGCGGTGTTAAATCACAAGATCTGGGAGGCCAATTCACAGGTCCAAAACGTGAAATTAGGTGGTCCCCAAACGTGTCTTTCAATATATCGATTGTGGCACGAGCTGTGTGACATGTTGCACCGTCTTGTTGAAACCACATCTCCTGGACATCATGGTTATTCAATTCAGGAATGAAAGAGTTAGTAATCATAGCTGTATACCGATCACCATTGATTGTAACGTTCTGACCATCAACGTTTTTAAACAAAATTCGCTTATGAAAATCGGGAAGAACGGCAATCTCGTTTTGGGCCCATTCGACGAATCTATGCCTTACATGATGATCGTTTGGCTTCAATTCTAGCACGAGTTGGATTTTGTAAGCACGTAAACCAAGATCATTCCGCAAAATCTTCCATAAAGTGGATGGACACAGATCCAATTCCTGTTCTCGATGGCGGATGGACTCATTCGGGTCTTCCTCAATGCTACACTCTACAGCAGCAATAGCTTCTTCTGTACGCACCGTACGGCGTCTCTGGGGATGCGAGTTATCAATAAGAGTAAACGTGGTGCGAAAACGTCCCATGGTTAATCCAATTAACTACTCTGATGGACGATTTTGTCGACGATAAAATAGACGTAGTGCGCGATACGTATTCCGCACAGAACCATTATTTTCGAAATAAAATTGCACTATTTGCAAACGTTGTTCAGGCGTGAGTCTATTCATGATGACTTGCCAAACCAAACTGAGAATAAATCACTTGACAGCTGTTAAATCGGTCGCCATCTTGAACAGTAATGCCAACTTAAAGTTCTATACATCGAAGAAAAACACCCATTATAAGGAAATCAACCCCAATATAAAACAAAGGCTCTCAATAGCAAACGCAGACCTGCAAACGTCACTTTTGACATAAAATTCAAAATATGTCAGAGGCCGTAAGATTTAGCTATAGCTGAATATTAGGTATAGATGTATGAAAAATATTCAAGAATGTATGAATGCTACGTTAAAAAAAATGAAAGTTGTTAGTTGCCAACGAAAATATAAAAACCCAATACACAACAAACTCTTTTTTTAGTTTGTTTGATATTTTTTAAGTTCTAAGATCTGTAATAAACGTACCGCCCGGGAAAGATAAATGCAAAAACAAAGAACGCAGTTCAGTTCTAAGTACGCCACTTACAATGAATGCAATTTCTCTTTGTCATGTATTATAAAAAATTGACTTATTTTTCAATTGAAAAAATAAAATTTTGCATGGATATACTCCAATCAATTAGCTTTGAGAGAGTATAGAGGGTACAACAAACTGCCTTTGAAGAAACAACGCTTAAATTATTTGCATATAAAATGAGTTCTATTCTGTTAATTACCTTAAAGGGGCTAACCATCCAATATCACCGTTGCTTAGCTAATCCATCATTTCTTATTTTATCTTTCATGTGCCGATATTTAATTATCTTTTTTAATCTTTTCGCTTCAGAGTGCCGACCTTTTGATCGATCTTCCGGATGGAACAATTCTTGGATCTGAGACGAAAACCGAAAACTATTCTTATTATGCCTACCGAGGCATTCCATTTGCAAAACCTCCACTAGGAAATTTAAGGTTCCAGGTAAGTATCGTGGGATAATCCATATAATTTTCAAGAGTTAAGTTTGCAAATGTTTGGAGGCTCCAGTACGAAACGACCCTTGGGACGGAATTTTAGATGCTAGTGAATTGAAAGACTGTTGCATACCTTTAGGCTCTTCTCAAGAACAACAAAGTGAGGATTGCCTATATATCAATGTTTTCACACCACCGCAAAATGTAAGATGATCTTCGTTAGTTGTATGCATTAGCGTTAGTTGTAGCAAATCGAATATTAATGCAAAAAATGCATAACATAATGAAAAACAATGCCAAGCAAAAAGGATAAGCGGTCGATCATTTTCTAGCAACCACTAAATCCCTAAACCTAGAGCAATTTACAATTTGACAACGCATAGTTAATTGGTGGCGACCTTTCAAAACACTTATTTGATCTGAGCCTATAGACCATTTTCCGTTTTATGAGGGTTGCAAATTCTTGAAAATGAAATTGTGTCACCACTAAAACAATAGAAAATCAATAATAATAATAAACACTTCACGCTTATATGTTCAGTTAATTATACGATCCTGCTGACAGGAATACCTTGAACATTGTTTATTTAGATTACTTCTTCAATTACCGGGAAAAGTTAGGGATATAATAGCGATCATTGTCGGAAAATTTTTGTGCGAATATTAATGACTTAAGAAATACAGGGTGCTCTTGGATGTTAAATTATTGAGAATTTCTTCTTTTTAATGTGAGAGAGTAAAGAGACTACGATAAATACCGATGATGCGCGTCGCGGTCTTGCTGTCTTTATTTCCAGGCAGTGCAGTGCGGTGACGTTTGATATTGACGTTTCTTCAATTTATCATTTCGTTTTAATTAATACCAAAATACAAATTATTGATTTAAATGTAGAGGGACATAATAAACGTTAACAAAAATCAGTATATTCACAAACTTAGAGGGATCTCAATTTATATTAGCTTACACCACTTAAACCGGAATCGGATTTGTCTCAATCAGTAAATTGCTCTTCGAATGACCATATGTTTTCAGTAAAAATCGTGGTATTTTTTGGTCCGCAGCCTTCCTCATTATATCGTCAATGAGCTCTAACAATTGTACAAAATTTTCCGTTGGCGATTTTTTAAAACTATCAAATTGACTTGAGCATGTAAACGTACCTATAATTACAATTGATGTTAGAGAATACAATTAACTAAGTCGTGTTTTGCAGAGCGAGGTAAGTTCAGCAGGAATTAGTTAAGGGTTGCTTAAAATATGCTTTTCCTTTGGACTTCCAGTGTCAGCTTTGTTTACTCAATTTCGCTTTAGAAGTTTAAACGAGTTTTGTAAAGCATTATTTATTGATAACAAAGAGCCAAAAGAGACAAATAACTCTCTGAGTGACAATTAAAAACCAAAAACTTTCCTTTTACTGTAAACTTTACAACAATATTATAATAAAGATACGTTGCCCAAATGGTTCTATGACTTTGTAATTCCAGTTTTTGATTTGTATAATTGTTGCCAGAAATGTTGCAAAATGAATATGTGAATAATTTTCAATTTGGCAATGAAATATATCTTTTCCAGACAACAGAGACACTGCCAGTAATGATCTGGATGTACGGGGGCGGATTTACTACCGGATGTGCGCTCGAGAGCGTCTTCGGACCACAGTCTCTTACAAACGAAGGAGTTATAGTGGTTACATTCAACTACCGTTTGGGTCTATATGGTTTTTTAAGTACAAATGACAGCGTGATTTTGGGTAACGCTGGACTCAAGGACCAACTACTAGCGATGAAATGGACACAGAAAAATATCGAATTTTTTGGTGGCGATCCAGAAAAAGTGACAATATTTGGTGAAAGCGCAGGCGGTGTGTCAGTGGGAGCGCACGTCGCGAACAAAAAATCTGCTGGCTTGTACAGAGCCGCGATTTGTCAAAGCGGTTGTTCTTTGACGATTTTGCCTTCAGCAATTCAATCTGATCCCAGGCAAACCGCTTATGACATTGCGAAATCGATAAACCCTTTCGTTTCGGAAGCAACCACGACCGAGGAAATCAGAGATTTTCTCCAATCTCTGCCCGCCGCAAGTAAGTAAGTATTATAAAAATAGCCAATAATTTAAGCTTTTATAGTAGATTGAAAATTTTAGTTACGCTTTTGACAATCAAACAATTAATAAATATTATTTTTTTTAATATGAAGACAACTTATTTAAAAAAAGCGTATTTTCCAGTTTCATTTCTTCTTCAGTTATGAAAGAGTAAAAAATGTAACATTGGAAAGGTTTTCCTGTTCCTGCTCTATATGAACGCAATTATGTATTCTTGAATCAGAGGAAAACATCGATGTAATACTAATTTTAAAAGGGAGTGTTAAACATTATTGTCTATACAGTGTAACATTAAAATGGACTGCTGATATAGTTGACAGAAATTCCCCAGGGTAGTGTACTGGGGCCGTTTAATTTCTAATGTATAGCTAGAGTTCAGAAACTTTAGGATAGAGCAATGAGATCATATTTTTTATTCAATGAATACACCCCTGTTCTTTGAGAAGATACTACATTTGGCAGTACCCAAATCGGTTTTTAAAATTACTTTAACCATGGTGAGGGAAAATTGATAATCGAACTAGAGAAACAAAAACAATTTTAACTTCTAGAATATGTAATGTAATTGTTATGAAACCATTTATTCTGTAAATTCTCAAACAATTTAATATTATTTTATTTATTATCATTTATTCATTTATATCATTCATTAATGTTAGATTCATTTTAATTGATTTTTTTCATTTATTTGTAAACAAATTAATTCGAATATTTATTTATTTTTTAGACGGGAATCGTAATAGAAGTTGAAGACGAGAACGCGTATGTAACGGATCATAGTTTCACACTGCTCGAATCGGGAAACTTTAACCATGTACCCTTAATAATCGGAACAAATTCCGCCGAATCGCTATCAATTTTGGGAAGTAAGTGGTGAACAGGCATCTTATATGTCCACAACACAAAAGCAAAAATGGTATCTTTCAGTTTTGCTGCCCGAACTAGTGATCGCTGCACTCAGCTATGATTTGAACTCGGCGTTGTTAATACCCTACAACCTGAACCCTTTGCCGGGTACCAATTTAAACGACGTTGCTGTATTGATCAAGCAGGCGTACAACAATAACCAACCATTTGCATTGAATTTGGCCTCGTTTGTTGAGGTAACTGATTTTCTGATTTTTAAACAGTGATTCCACTAAACACCATTTGTTATCCACGTGGAATTGCATTGCAAGCATTTCCTAAAATCAGTAAGGTTTTTTGTCTTCGGGAGTTCGCCTAAAATAAGTTTAATCTTGTTACGTTTGATTGATAAGAATTGTGTAATGACCTGAGAGTTTCATATAAATTGTATGTGCATACTTTCTAAATTGCAGTTTACCAGTGACCAGTTATTTGTAAGATCGTCGCTTAAGCAAGCTGAACTGCAATCCAATTATAGTCCTGTATACTTTTATCAGTTTTCTTATTCCGGAACTGTAGGCAGCATACACGCCACCATTGAAGGTATGTAATACAGATGGTTAAAACCCGCCTCAGAAACAAAAAAAATGTTTTTCTTTTAAGGCACTGGAAAAGTGGGACACGGGGAAGATGTACGTTATCTATTTGACCGGACTGAATTTCCCTTAAACACAGAGGAGGAATTCCTGACCAAAAGTAGGATGACTAGACTTTGGGCCAATTTCGCAAAGACATTGTGGGTGCGTTCTTGCCAATCCACTTTAGTAATTTCATAGTTTTTATGTTTTTTAGGAATCCCACCCCGGATGAAATTGATCCGCTTCTTAATGTAACCTGGACTCAAGTTTCGGGTTTAAACATCCCTTACCTGGATATAGATGAGACTCTCGAGGTTAAGCCCGGTAAAAAGGTGAAGGAAATGGAAATGTGGAACGACGTTTTTTACACTTACGGCCAGCAACCTTTCTCGGGATTTTGATTCCTTGATTCACGTATAAAAAGTGACAAACATTATGCCCCGATTATTTTATAAAACAGGGTTGTTTGTGCGTCTCCTATATAAATAAACTTAATAAAAACTGTGAAATAATTGTAATTTTATTTATTATTGGTACTGGTTTTGTTATTCCTAAGATCATAAGGTATTCGGCGATTTAAGAGCAGAAACTGCAATTCTATGTTCCCAACCTGCCTCTGGTTTGCAACGTGAGTTGGCTGATGGTTTGTTGTAGAATTCCCACATTTTTAACATCCGGTCTTGAGAATCGTAGCTCTAGTCCTTTATAGTCGAGCGTATTTCCGAATTCACGACTCCGAGAAAAGGTATATAAATATAAATCTATAATGCCGAATCGTAGTTGGATTTGGATTGTTCAATAATTCAAAATTATTTAAATTTTGATGTACCTTTACCGCACAGTTTTCTTAGGATAAGTTGTAATATTGTCCTTATTACTTGATTTCGTTCGTATTTGTTGTATTTGTATTCTATATAATCTTGACAGTGTTAGTTTAAGAAATTAAAGGTTCTTCATTTTTCCAAAAATTGAACTGAGGTGGCTTTTACTTGATGAAAATCCGTTTATCAAAATAAATAAGTACTAAAAGTTCAGATTTTCACGAAATTATATATTAGGACATGGCAATTGTTTCGACAACACCTTGTCTTTATCAAATGATCGAATGATAAAGACACGGTGTTGTCGAAACAATTGTCATCTCATAATTTATAATTTCGTGAAAATCTGAACTTTCAGTTCTTATTTATTTTTATTTTTCCAACTCTAGATCCCTTTAATACTTTCCACTAAAGGGATATAATACGAAGTTGGCAAACGAAATATATAAACCTAATGAAAATAATTGAAACTAAAAAGTCAAAGAAGAAGGCGGCAAATAATTTCAAACAATCCTAGTTTTGTAATCACAAAGACGATACCCATCAAGATTGTAACAATAAATATAAATAACGTGTGAATTGATAAAATTGTTGGCTGAAGTTTGTTGCGTACTGTGTTTTTTCATTATCTTTCGGCAATTGAACTTAGCTCTGCTGGCTGTGTCTCAATTACGCTGATTGGAATTTCCTAATTAGGTCGCCTATTTTGACACAAGGTTAACTTTGTTTCATATTACATATTTTGAAGCCACTGTTTTATCATTTTTTAAAGCGTGTGTTTACCGGACACACACAGATTTTGTACGTTTGGAATTATTTTCAAGCACGAAGAGAACACGTGTAAAAGTAACCAAAGAAATGGCAGTGAAAGGTTGAGTGCCCATCCAACATTAATTGTATAGAACTTAATATTCACAAACAATAATTGCGTTATAATCCACTGAATATGCACAATCCCCTCTAACAAAATATTCAACAATCAAAAATCTTTTCGTATAATATTTTCTATGATTACACTACATTTTTTTCAACAAATTTCAACACAGCTACTAGTGGTTTTCATCTGTGATCCGTTTCCTAATAAGAGAGAGTTAAGTCATTAGCCGTATTTCATTTAAAAATTTGTTCTGAAAAATTGTAGTATTGTTTTAGTAGACGATCGAGCATTGGATTTCTAATGCCGTAAGCTTGTTGAATTATACTGGTTCAAAAGTGTCGAATCATGTGTCTCTTTCCAATTTGTTAAGTTCAGGAAGTCCATTGCGAAAGTTATTTATTTAATATTGTGTTTCTTAATGCTAGGTAGGTAACGAAACTTGTACAAAAAATAATAATAATTCAAATTTCTAGAACTCCCGAATAGTATTGTTAAAACACACTGTATGTTCCATCTAAAATGGTATGCAAGGAATGATTGGCTGTGGCCTTCCAGGAACTGTCTATCAAAGTTCGGCTTTCTGTCTAACTAATGTATGGAACTAATAAGATTTCTTCAAAGGTCTAAATTAGTTAAAAATCTAGAAAATTATGTCTATGTGGTAACCTAAAAAAAATCTACTTTATTTCATGAGTAGAATCTAAAAATGAAATGATATACAGGGCATGCCAGTTAAACCAAGCAAGATCCACGTTTATATAGAAGCGGCAACACTGCATACTTGAAAATATCTTAGAGCACCTTACATTTTACATCAACCTTTTTTTTTGAAAATACTAACAAATTTTCTCCTTCCTAAAAGTAAGAAAATTGTTATTCAGCTATTCGGAGTTGCAAAAATAGTTGAAACGTTTCGAAACGGAGTTGGAACAATATTCCGACTTGTGCATGAGGACAAACGCTGCCCCACCAAATAGAAGAAGAAGACAGGAAGAAAAGAAACTGTAATAAATGAGGAAGAAAGGACTGCCACCAAAAGAATAATGCCTTGGAAAAAACGATATCTGAAATAAAAAAGGATGATTCCATTCCACCCACGAGTAAGAAGAAATTGTGGAAAACTTTGGAGGAAATGAATTTCCTTTATGAAAAAACTGAAAATCACTTTAAATCGACATAGATGAAATTATCTTCCAGCCACGTGGATATTTGAGAACAGTTATCCAGTTTAGAATTGAAAACATGAATATCTATCTATCTTCTGGACCAAACGAAAATATAGCAAGATAAATTATGAATTATTTGCTCATCTCTATGAAGAGAATCATGTTTAATTGCCTTGCCTTTCTATTGAATATAAATTAGAGTGATGCTAATTGGGGAACGATTCAAGGAGTGTAGGTTTTGTAAATTTAAATTTTTTTACTAGGAATTAGGAAACTAGGTATAGGACTAGATGTTTCATCCAGCTCTGCATTTTCGAAAATTATATATTATAATTGAAATTATTTTCAGTAATTGCATTTATTTTGGAATATTGCAAATCTGGTATTTATCACTAGACAGGAATCCGTTATCTTCAGTAATTTCGTACTTTCTTTTTGAATACACCACAACTTATCGAAATACCTATGTCGCTAATCGCTAAAACAGAGATTATTATCGGTTTTTATTAAATTTGAAAAATTCCAAATTACTTCTTGACAACGATTATCCTATGTCGTGGATGTACCGCAAAATTTTATACTCCCTTTATATTTTCCATAAAATCCAAATGTTTGATATTGATATAACTAATAAAAATACCTTAACTGATTTGTAAATAAAGCGAAACTGAAAGCCTGAAAGCAAAGAAATTAACCATCAATGCATCAATTCGTGGCTACAGTTGTAACTGGGGTCATGGTAAGGAAATAACTCAAAGCATAATTATTATTTAAAAGATTCATTAAAGCATTTATTACTTTTTAAAATATATAAGTCAGAATGATAATTTTCATTTATGACTGCTTGAGTGGTAAGCATAAAAATTAAACTTATTTTATTTAATAGATTGAATGGAGCGATATATTTTAAATTATATTGCAATTGGTTTTATAGTTTAATTGTCATTTTTATCTACAGTCCGTAGGTCTCCTGGTCGACATTGCGGACGGCATCATTTGTGGGTAGGAAATCAAAGCTGAAAATTATAGCTACTACGCATATCGAGGTATTCCATTCGCAACACGTTACTAGAAAAACTACGATTCCAGCTAAAAATGTTGTTAGGCCCTCGTACCTAACAAGTCATTGGAGGGAGTCTTAAATGCAACGGCAACAAGATGTTGGTGCAAATGGGGATGACGTGAGCGAAGATTGTGTAGTTATTAATGTGTCAAATGGTTACAAATACACAGCTAGTTTGCTTGCAGATTGCCGAAAAATTGCTCTGGATATTTGGGGAGGATCCTCAAGCGGATGCGCCGCACATCTTATTTAAGGACCATATCGCCTCGATAACGAAGATGACATAGGGGCCACGGCCAACTATCTTCTAGGAGTATTTGGTTTTCTATCTACCGAAGGCAGCGTTGTTTTGGGTAATGCCTAACTAAAAAACCAACTGCTCGCTATGCAATTGACGCAAAAAAACATCGAATACTTTAGTGGCGATCCCGAAAATGTTATCATATTTGGAGAGTCCATATGGGTAACAAAAAATCGGATGGATTGCATCGGGCGGCGACCTGCCAGAGTGGCTGTCCTTTAACGAATCTAACTCAGACTCAACTAAGCAGTCCTAGGAAGGCAGTCTATGACATATTGTGATCTATAAATCCATTAATTTCGGCGAAAAGTACAACAAGTAAATCCTCAACTTACTATCAGCCCTCTAGATTAGCGTATTTGTAATTTGAAATCCAATAATTTTTTTCACCGTTTGTTTCAGACCTGAGCAACCAAGCTTAGTACCAATTCTGAGGTTCTTTCATTAGATAAAAATCAAAACCTAACCGCCATCACCTAAGAAACTTTGCTTTAGAGACAGGTGAACTGCTTCAAGTGCTTCGATACAACGTCGTTATTAGTAATTCCCGATTACTACGATTACGGAGAGCAATTATTTAGGGGATTCTGAACCAGCGATATTGTTTGGAGTTAAAGTTATTGTTTCATTAACCAGCTCCGCGTTTTATACTTATGAATAAACGGCATTTCTACATATACTTATTTTTATTTCTCTAAATCTCAGAAAGTGGTCATAAACGATACTAATAATAACAAGACTCAACAGGCGGTGCAGTTTTATGATTGAAGTGAACACTACTAAAATATTCAGAAAAAAGCTCAGATATACCGAAAGTTTTGCAGGACTGTGTTTTTACCATGCATTAGTAAACATAAGATTTATAATCACGTTTTATAAAATATTTTGTATCCCGACAGAACTACGGATGGTAGTCGTTACCTTTTAGAATTTTTCCATTTTTCAGGTGCTTTTGTTTTTCTCTTAAGCCACAAACCGCCCGAGAGAAACATACTGGAAAAGACCCTTTGAGGCTCGTCGAGCTTTAACAAAACTTTTTATTAGGCATAGACATGAGGACTGCATGATCCATTCCTACTCCTTCAGGATTATAGTCAGCATTAAATAAAATATTAACTAAAACCAACCAAGATTTTCTCTAGGGCTTGAAAGGTTTGGTTTATTCCTAATACG